TGCAAAAGTTGGTACGACAAGATATTGAATCATAAGATGTGCTTAGTTTCTCACACATGGCTTCTCCATTTTGGCTTTCTTTTTGTAAAATAAATGATGAGATGGTGTAATATGTCATGCGTCGTTGTTCATCTGAGGTTGTATTTACCTACTTCTGAGAACTGCGAAGGACCAGATGATTTTTATTAAGTCCTGATACGTAAAACCACAGAACTCAGAGGGTGTACTTTCTTTTTCACACGACTGTATTTTAGTGATGTGATTACAGATAAGGTTCTAGCTGGCTTGTATATGTGTGGGGCAGGGTTTCTCTGAAGAACCTGAGAATCAGGAGGTCTTTTTTGGCCTTGGGGCCATAATCCACTGACCTACCAGCTGGCAAGTGGCAGAAAGCTTTAACGTCGTAAGTATTAGTGGGTTAAATATTGTTTGGCCTAGCTTGGATGGATTTTGGGGAAGGCTCAGTGGGTTAACAATGGGAGTGGAAACATTTCATCCATATACTGTACACGTTGGCTCCCATCCCTACCTTGTTTTTAATCCAAAAATTGTACTACCGGATTTTGTTCATGATCCTGCCAAATTTTGAGATATTGTATATAAGGGTTCTTGGAGGGCCACAAATGGAGTACTTAGAAGGCCACCTGCAGCTGACAGGTTTCCCAATACTGTTTCAAGGAAAAAGTAATACTACCACTATTCAGAAACCAATCTTGTACCACATATTATTATTATGGTTGGTCACAGTCAGCCAAATGTTTAGACTGGATTTGGCATTTTTGTCCACCTATCGAGTCCCTTATAAATAAACCAGAGAAGCACGTGAAACAAACAGGAATTTTAACTCCTCTCTGTAGTCTTTCTGAACCTGTACAACTTCAGTATCCATGCATAAGCCATCTTATCAAAGCCATCTCAGAAATTAATTTTATTATTAACAATAAATATTGTTGCTTGATGAATAGCCATAATTACTATGGGTCCATCCCAAATTCTGTGGCAAAACATTCTTATGATTTGAAAAGAGCTGAATGCCTTCCTTTAAATGCCTCGAATGCATTGCATCACAGCATGTATTACATCAACGCTTTCAGAGAAAGCAGCCCATTTCTTGAAAAACTGTTTTCCAAAATAGATGAACTGAAATGTCAATTCTTTATTTTTTATATTAACATAAAACACATATTTTGTAATCTTAAAATGAAGACAATGGAAACAGGAAAACATATCAACAGATAACCTGAATTTGATATATTCTATTCTGTTAAATAAAACATAGGGTTGTCTGATACTGTACATCAGAGAACAGTTCTGCTCTTTATCAGCCCCGCAGTTTATACATAACTGTTCCTTTAATCATATACTCCTCATTCTATATGTTCATTCTGCATTTAACACAGAAAACGGGAAGTGTTTAAGCTTTCTGTTTGCCTCTTAGGTCCTTCCTCCATAAAGATAGCACATACTAAATATTTGATGGTATTCTCACATCATTTTATATACATGTAACCAGAACTGAAGCAGTGATTATTACAAGAAGTTTATGTATTAGTAACATGATTATATAATTATATAGTGTTCATATATTACTTATTTACAGTTCCCATTGACTCGAGCTTTGTAACAGAGGAATCAAGAAGGGTTCATTCATCCAAATTCTCTTTGAGTGTAGAATTCAGAATCCTGTTGTTGATGCTTGATTTAACTGTAAGTTCCTTCTGCAATATTACAAAGAATAACAGAAATATGCAGTACAGCCAACAGAAATAAATTCATAGATTAGTTTATATCTCAATAAATTTCTCCTTCATGCTTCAATGAAGCTGTAAATCACATGATCTTATTGTTTTGGTGACCCCAACAACCCAATACATTTCCTGAATAGGTTCACATCACATATTATACTAAATTATGGCTTGCTTAAATACAGGTAGTCCTCACTTATCAACCACAATTGGGATCAGCAACTCCATCACTAAGTGACGCAGTTGTTAAGTGAAACATCAAGTGACCACACTGACGTATGACATCAGTTCTGGTTGCAGTCGTGAAGCAAATCACCCACGGTCATTAAGCATGATGTCGTGTGACTCTGACTTGCGACTTCCTGCCAGCTACCCCATTGACCGTGCTTGTTAGAAGCTGACTGTGAAGGTTGCAAATAGCGATCATGTGGCTGTGGGATGCTGTGACTGTCATAAATGCGTGCTGGTTTCCAAGCACCCAAATCGCCACCACGTGACCACAGGGATGCTGCAACAGTTGTGTGAAGACCAGTCAAAAATCTTTTTCAGCACCATCATAACTTCAAATGGTCAAGTAGTCAGTAAGCGAGGACTACCTGTATAGCTTACTGAATTAATCAAAATTGGCTGAGTTTACAGAACACATTCCCTTGGGGCCAGACTTTCTGCCCCACTTGACTAAAACATTTTAATTAAAAAACCAGGGAGTAGGCACCTTGCAAAGCAAAACCACCAGCATCACCTTTACTTTCAAAAATGTCCCAAAAGCATGATGCAGAAGTATCTGTATCTTGCTAGATAAGAGAAAGATAAAAGGGGATAGTAGAGATTGTGCTGGGGTGGGGGTAGCTTTTGGTAAGCCAGTGCTTTGTAACTAGTTATATCCCACCAGATAGCTGTATTATGGGCATATTTAAATGGGCAATCCTCCCAGCACCCATTTTGCAAGCCTATCCACACTATATTCTCAAAATTAACACATAGCCAAAAAAGGATGAGCTCTACACAAAGCAAACCAAGCAAGCAATGTGATTTAGTGTGATTTGTGAACCCAGTGACTCAATCTGACAACACACCTAAAACTGGATGGCAGGGAACTTGTGGCCTTCCAGGAGAGCAGCCCAACTAGCTTCACTTACCATTAGGCATGCTGGTTGGGCTGCATGTTCAGGAATATCTGGAGCGCTACTGGTTTACTTTCTTGACCTGAAGTTACCTTGATGTTTACAATATTCTTGTGACTTACATAATCACATTAAGCCTACCTAGGATTGCAAACTAAGCTGCTTAGTGAAATTTAATTCACGGTTAACTATTTTCATCTTTACTTTCTAAAACTTCAGCCATGACAATTCCATAATACTATCTGGCACAATTAAACGGTAACAGTGCGGAGCACGTTAATAACACTTCACAGTATTCCAAATAGTAATGAAATCATTGAGAGTAGCACTATTCTAGTCAGTATTTTCTAGCTTAATTTCTGGCAGTGATTCTTAAAGCATAATTCAATATAGTTAAACAGTTTCTAAAAATTTGCCAACATCAACACATGACAGAGGGACAATCGTATCATACTCTTTATACAGTGCATTATTTGACAAGGCAGTTGAAGAGAATTTCACAGGGAGCCAATTATCCAAAGCAAATTATGGGGAAGCAGAGAAATGGAGATGAGAGTCAAAATGGTATCAGGTAATTAAACCTAAAGACTTCTCACTAAACAGATCCTTGGATTTAAGGGAGACTTGAAGAGATGACATAATTCATAGAAGAGGTTCAAAGTGAAGAATGCAGAGAACCATGAGAGTGAACAGCAGAAGTCATGGGCCAATAAAGAAACTGCTGAATCATTACGCAAGATAAGCTGGGAAGAGCTGTGTCTTTAAAACAGGGAACCACTGGCTACAGTCATTGGGGTGAATAGCACTTTTAGATCTGGATAGAAAGGGGATTATGAATGAGAAAATTAGTGAATGGATTGCGAATATGGATCATATTGCCTAAGTATTTTGAATGGTATATTATTTTAGAAAATGGTGAGAAGATTATGATGTGATAATATAGTGTCACAAAAAAGCAAAAGTAATCAAGGGGAAGAGGATGGATTGAAACATTTTAGCTCTTCTTTAGTGATAGACAGCAGTATATATGAAAAAAGCTATGACAAACAGAGGAAGAGAAGAAAACCAGCGAAAAATATAACCACAGAATTGGATCAAAAAAGCATAGTTTGCAGCACTTATCAATCTTATACTATCCCTAGGTCTTCAATTAGTATTTGCCTTATTTTTGATATGCAGCGATCTGGTTACAGTTATCCATGCTTTGGTTAATTCAAGCGTAAGCCTTTGTAACAACACAGCCTACAGTGGACGTCTCTTGCAAAGCACCCTAAAGCTTAAATTGGTGCAAAATTCAAAATATAATAACTAGAAAGATCAGTACTAATTGAGGAGCGCTTTCCAGGCTCTTTTAATTTACCTTAACTATCAGAAGGGCTAAGGTCTTATATATACATACATACATACACACACAGAGACACAATCTGTTAAAATGTATAAGAAAAAAATTAAGAAACCATACAGTATTATTATATGTGTGTGTATAGTATATTACACAGTAATATAAGCATTTACATAAAATATGTATTACAACAGTATTTTTTAAAGAGAAGCTACTAAATTTTAGTAATTTTGAAACTGAACTGTAACCACCTGGAATAACATTGGTCAGTCTTTCCATTACATCAATAACAAGGCCATACAAAGGCAGACTAAACATGTATCTTCAATCCAAGATTGAAGTTAGGTTTTTAAATTGCTCTTTTAGTTTATTTTAATATGGTTATGTTTTCTCTTCCTTTTAACTGGTGACACAACTTGGTGACACAAAGAATATATGCATCGTGTTTTGGTGAAGGCAGTAGATTACCCAACTCAAAAGAAACTGGGATGAAAAATACAGTAAATGGGATGTGGATAACTGAGTTTTACCACAAGACAAGAAAAAAAGTTCCTGGAAAAAAAGTATCAGGGGAAAGAGTAGAGCAGAATTTTCATCTGGGGCTAATTAGAATAGGTTCTTTTTCCAGACAGAGCAAAGCATGATTTTTAAGAGGTTAGATATATATTTTCATTTTCTCCAAAAGGTAATGAACAGATCAGTAGCATAGGCTGGGAGGAGTATACAAAGGAGGTGAGGTAAGTCAGAGGACCAATTCTATCCTGCCCTTCTGGTGCAAAGATAGCACTTGGAGCGATTTACAGCATTTTCAAATGAGAAAACTAAAAAATTACAATATAAAAACAACAACAAAAATGTATTATCCAAAAAGACAGGATTACACACAGAGACACACTGATTTTAACAACCACATTAGCCAAAAGCCTCCTAAAATAAAATCTTCAGCAGCAGCAGCAACAGCAGCAGCAGCAACAACAGCAAAAACACCAAAGACCAACCTTGCTTCAAATGAATGGGCATAAATTTCAAAATAAGCAGGAAAGGAGAATGATTAAAATAAAATATTTGAAAGACGGAAATTTATGGGATAGCAAGAAATCCAAAATTATAGTAGCTTGGTTGCCAAGTGGAACACATTAAACTGAGAAAATTTCACAAATGAGCCACCATTTTCCTTGTTTTTAGGTGCAATTAGAAATAGAATTTAATTGTAAGTGCTATAAGATTATTGAAAAAATGACCAAAGAAAGGGCCTGAGAACAGGTAAGAGAAGACCACTCATATAAAGGGACAGCATAAATGCCAACTCCCTAGCTAGAAGAAGAATGTAAAATGTAATGATTTATTAGCCATTGTTACTAATGAAGAACTCTTGATAAAAAAGCAGAATCAAATGTTTTTGTTCAATAGAACTATATTTTGTTACATTACAGGTGGGCCCAGAATCAGAATTATGGGTCAAGGAAGAAAAAGATATTAATAGCAGAAATTATATCAGGATTTCCTGTGGTTAGCCTGTTTTGTGCAGAGAATACTATTATTTTTAACTGAGCTGAGAATAAACAAAATGGGACTATTTATATGGCCCTGAACTCCTTGAAGGAAAAAAGTAGCTAAAAATCAAATGCTTTTTAGCGTGTTTAGAAAGAGTGTTAATTTGTGACAGCTGGACAAATCAATCCCACCATCATGTGCCTTTGTTCTATCTTGAGTTAGTCAACATTTGTGAAGCAATCTTCAAATAATCCCAGACAGGATAAGGATTAACATTCCCTTCATGCAAAGCAATCATACAGCCAATGATTATTTGCTCTTCCAAGGTAATTTAGGAAAACTCTTGGCTCCTATCAATACCATTACTAAACTGTAATAAATCAATATTTAGCTCATTGCTCCGGATGTTCTGCTTATTTACCTATGAATCTATGCAATAATGAAACACAAGTTAGACATACCAGAAAATCTGAATAACTAAGTTGGTTGGTAGATTTGCTTTTCTTGCACTCTTCTAATGATGGTTGGTACAGGGAATATAGAGGTGTGCTTTTGGAAGGAGTCTGCAAAATGTAATTGTAATACACACCTAGTCTCAAATTACATCAAATACAAAATATAGCTAAGCAGATAGCTGTTGTAGGACTGGAGGAAAAATTACATCTAATTTAAAAAACAAATTTCATTATCAAGCAAAAGCCTGAAAACAGCCCCTGTTCAGAATGAAGCTTTAAGATTCACACGCTTCCATTTCTCTGCTCATTACTTACACTATCTGCCAGAAAATCTTATTGGTAAACTATATCTATTTTCCATTTACCATTTGGAATCCATTCCAAGTTTTCCCCTTAGCAACATATCTGATTAGGCCTTATCTTTGCTTTTATGGCCTTTTTTGCGTTCGATGAATAAGAGTCTTGTTTGAGAGCACATAAATTACTCCAGTACTGTTCCAATGCCTGCTCTCTAGTTTTTCTACTACATGGAAACTACCCAATATTTCTTGTGCTGTTTGGCTTTATCAGGCAGACTGTTAGTTCAGAAAGAACATGAGTTATGGGATAGCATAACCATTTAATTAGAAATGTTTTAAGATAACCACTGGCATGGCAAATTGCAGAACCCAGCCAGCCTTGAGTGATTGTGGGAAAAGCCAAGCAAGCTGAGACTGTTTAGTATTTGGAAGGAAGACCACTAAAAAAATAAGAAAACAAAAAAGCCATTCTGGTAGAAGGCAATAGCAAATTCTTATGTAATGTTGCCAAGAAAATTTCACAGAAGTGTCCAAGGAGTTGAACACAACATGAGATACTTGCTTGACAACTATATTGCCTCTCAAGCCATGATTTATAAAATCTTATCTATTTCATGTCTTGCACAATTATTATTCAACTCATTATCTCATCTAGCTGGTTAAGAATCAAAACTTCATTTTTAAAAAGAAGGCCAAAAGTAAATAAAGAGGAGACCAAAAACAAAAACAGAGGAAAGAGCATCCATAGCGATAGTCTGCTTAAATAGACCTTTTGCCTCATGGGTTACTGCTTGAATGCCATCAATCATCATTAATCATAATTAACAGTAATCCATCAGACAGAGGCAGTTAGGTTTATACAGTATTTACTGAAAGGTAAAAACTAGACTCTTTTTCTCTGAATAATTTATCTTAAAAATGAATGGGGGCATCCTAGATTCACTGAGAATATACTAGAAAAGAGGCAGCTTTCTGGATAATCTTTTGGGGAATACGTTGTCTACTTAAATTCAGGTTTGTCTTTTAATCAACATACTCTGGGAGAAGCTAACAATTACTTTCTCCTTTCTTGAAACAATTACTTTCCCCAGAAGTTTGCAGCAGTCACCTGCATACTTACAGGAGAAAGTAAGTCATATTTACATATTACATATATTCCAATATATAAGACATATATTCAAAGAACTGGGTTCATACAATAACCTGCATAAAGCAATAGTAAAATCATAATTCTTCTTGCTTATAACTGAATATATATATATAATTGAAACTATATATCCACTTGCCTTTAACCAAATACATCCAGCTGAAGTAAGAATAATGTCTTACATTTTTCTGTTTGTTAAGAAAACAATCATAATACATCATGAAAGTTCTTCATTTTGTACTATGATGTTTCCCTTGCAAATAAAAAACTGTATTAAGTTTATGATCTTTTCAACTGTATATATTATTTTCAACAGAACATAAATCTTACGCAAGCACACATTACAAAGAAGTATTTTCTCAGACATGGAAAAATACTATCTTTTCAAAAAATATGTGAATATGAGATGCCATGCAGCATACACATAGGGAAGTCATGCTCTTAAACATTTAAGATTACAGATCTAATCAAGTTTTATACAAGTAATTTTGTATAAACACAAGAACTGAATACATGCTAAGAATGTGCACTTTTCTTAACATGTTCGGTTTTGTTCATATGAAATATTTTCTGTAAAATATTTTCTATGCAAAAAAATGGACCAGTCAGGTGTCCTTCGTAACTCTGCATGACATATTTCCTGGGATCAATAAGACAATATTGGGCACCAGTTAAAACATTTTCGCTAATTTTGGAAAGATACAACCGTTCAATACCCAAAGAAAAATATATTGGTAAATATGGACTATATTTATATATCAAATAAGCTTTCATAAGTAACATTACAAGAGGCAGCACAATCATTTGCTTACCAAAGGTAAAATAAGACTAAATTCTTTCTCCAAAAAATCTTAACCTCCTATACAAAGCACAAAATTAAATAATGACTTATTTTTCCTAATACATTTTTACAATAAAAATTATCTTGCCAGAGCCAATTACAGATGTTAATTATACATGTAAACATAGAAAGCATAGCTTGCATATCAATATCCAAATCAGACAAGAAATTAGTGGAACATTAAAGTAGCTTTGAATAAGCACTTACAGAAAGATTATTAACACTTGCCAGTTCAAGTCAGTCATTTTTTTTGTTTGTTTTTTTGTTCAAAGCTCTACTGGATTCAGGAGCTTAGGTCGAAACTTGCAAGTCCAGTCCAGTATGTCATATGCAGTCTCTCAAACACATTATTAACCTCACCCTAATCCTGGGGGAAACCTCCTGTGTATTTCAATCACCGAGCAGATCAGTCAGCAATAGTGCAATCAGGGAGAAGTATAAATCAGACCAGCTCATGTGTCATGTTATCCACAAATGCCTTGCCTACAATGAAAGAAACCCAGCCTATATTGATGAAGAAATGGATTTGCATTGTGTCCCTGCAAAGACACAACTACTCTTTATTTTATTACCTTCAACAACCAGTTCAAATTTTAAAAACACAATTAATCTTACTCACCTTGGTTTGAACGGAGAGTTTGCCGGCAACAGCAATGTTGGTTGCTATGTTATTGCAGCTAGATGCTTTAAGTACAGTTAGGTTTGAGGCTACCTGAAAAATAGAGTTCTAGTCTAAGAAACTTTTGGACATTTCAATAAGCAGCATACTAAGGTTTAAATCCAATGTTAATTTCCAAGAATACATTCTGAGGTTATCTCAAACTTGACAAAGACCTTTACTTGGCTGAAACAGTCTTCTTTTTCAGGACTACTGTACTAGATCAGAGCAACAAAAATTCAGACAAAGAAAAGACAGAAAAAAATTAACCTCTTCCTGCCATCTAGTGGGCAACAACTATACCTGGATTAAAATAACAATGTCAGTTAACCGTGCCCTGGAAACCTCCCTTTCTGTGGGCCTGCCTTTCAATATTATTTGGAAACTGCAGTTGGCACCAAATTTGATTAACTGGAACTAGGATTACTATGCTAATACTGTGGGATTTCTAGAACAGAACACTCTACTGATTTTAACTTGTAAAGCCATAAATGATCTAGAACTAGCATACCTAAAAACTGACTTCTTGACCTCTTTATCAAAAGCCAGATGACCTTATTGAGTGAAGTGAGATAGGGGGCACCTTCTTAGCACTGGCATTAGCTATGAAATGGCTTCATCAAGAGGTGCTCCTGGCATCTTTGCTCTGATCATTTGGATACCAAGACAAAGAGTTTCTCCCTGCCTTTTGCAGAATGTATGATCTTTCTGCTTTGTACTGTTATTGGTACAAGTATTGGTATTGCTGTGCTGTTGTTGCTATTATTATTGTTGCTGTTATCATTATTCTGTTAAACTGATTTTATTCCTTTCTTCTGGAAATATTGATCTTGCAACTTGTTTTAGAATATTTTAAAGCTGTATTTTAATATTTCATGCTGAGAGCTGCTGCTCAGAAAACAATGTTTTGGGGTAGCCTATACTACAGACAATCAAGATAGGATTCTAATAGACTTAGTCTCATTTTTAAAGTACCTAATAATCCAGAAGTTACTTTAATTATATTTCCAATGTATTTATCAAATTTTGTGCATAACAATTATATGGCTATTGTTTCAGAATAGAAACAATATTGCAGAAATGTTTAAGAGATTCCTGGGGACAAGGCACCTTCTAAAATTCCCAAGACATCTGTCAGGTTCCAAGCTCCATCTGATTTTAAGATTATTTTAATAAGAAAAAAAAAATAGCTACTAACTAAAGGGCCAGCTTCAAACATAATCTTTATTTCCAAGAATACTTCTGATCCCATATAGCTTTAGAAGCTGAAAATGGTGGGTGGTTTCAGCCTAGTGTTTGACTTGAACCTCTGCTCACCTGCCCAGAAAAAAGACAAAAATAGGAGGTAGGAAGTAATTTGGGAGTCTGGAGGAATGAGGAGGAGAAAACTAACTATTTGCCTCCTGGGATATAGCAGTTTCAAGACTAGCCATGCCCTTCACAACAGACCCTGCAGTATTGTATTATATTCCTGGCTTTTTATATCACATCTCATTTATACACAGGACAAACAGGATGAAAGTTTGTTACCAAATAAACATTCAGAAAATATTTTACTTTGCGCATCTTGTTCGGAGTTGGAGTGTTCACATGGGCAGATCTTTTCATAGCTGCTTTTGGAGTTGTACATTCATCCCACTTCACTGACTGGAACATAAAAAAGTTATTTTAATGTAGTAAATGTTGATACATTTTACATTGCAGATCTACATCCAATCACATAAAGACACCCATGATCATCACAGAAAGATATGGATCACTTCCACCTTTTAATTATTGTTAAAAGATGGACAAGTGTGCTAACCATTGTGTGTTTTCATTCTCTCCTTCAAAAATTAAATTACATTTAGATAAAGTAATAATTATTGCTCACTAATCTAGCCAAAATTCACCCGTAATATATTTGCAAGCAGATGCTAATCATGGTTTGAATTAAGTGACATATTGAGCAACTTCAAAAAAGTGGAAACAGTTTAAAGCCACTTTATTCCATAATAGCACCAAAACCATGAAGAACAACTTACCGTTTTGGGTTGATCTTTTTTAAGTTTGTGATGTTGCAGCTGCTGGGCCATGGAATCAAGAAACCTCCGGCTTCGAATAAGGAAATCTGAATTATGTTCCTTCTCCCAGGTTTCAATTTTTTTCTTCAGTTCTTCCCCTAACTAATTTTGTAAAAGGAAGTGTCTATGTTAATTATTCTTCAATTTTAATTAGAGTTTCAAACATAAAATGGCTTACTCCAAGATCAATTTCATGTACTACTTCAGAATAGAACTTTTTACGCCTTGACCGTATTCCACTAAAAGACACAACAGCCAACAAATCATCAACAATTCTAAGATGTACATGTCAGTGGGAACGTATAATTAAATATCTCCCAGTTGAGCTCTTTATAGACTTGTTTACATACACAGAAGATTTTGTAACCTACAGAAGAACCTTATAAAATGAGGCTAGAATAAAAGAGCTAATATACTATGTTAACTTCATGTTACAACTCTTTTAACCTGCCACTGTTACAATACTTGGTGTTTGTCTTTTTATTTAGGAAGGTTCATATTGCTAAGATCTTCCCATTGTTACCCCCATCTGAAAACACGTGCGCACGCGCGCGTGCACACACACACACACGAGAGAAGCTATGAGAACATTGCCCTGGCATTTTACCTTTGACAACTGCTTCTGAATCTTCGATCGTTCCCTTTCATCTTTCAGCAAGTTACCCCCTCTGTTTAGGAGCCTGCTTGGATCTGTTGATTTTTTCTAAACACAAACACTAAATAGATTATATACTGAATAACTAAACATGTATTTATTGATAGCAGCTTCAGTATTACTACCAACCCTGTCATAGGGGGAATCCTCCTTCAGGCCAGCAACCAAATCTCAATGCTTACTGCGTATATATTGGATGCAATTTCCTGATTTCATCAACTGAGGCTAGAGTAGCTTTTATTTCAGTGATGCGTTGAACAAGTAAGCAAATCAGACAAGTCTAAAAAGTCTGAGAATAACATCATGATAACGAAATAAATATTGTTTATTCGGTCAATGACCAGCAAAATTGGAAAATACACAAACACAAAATCAAATGGGTGAGATAAAATACTAGCATAACAAGGAATCATAATGTTGCTAGGTAAATAAATTTTCCAAGTTTAGATATTGTACCTGAATCAGAGTTTAAGCATGCTAGAAATTAAGACAAACTGTTAAGACAAAGTAGTTTAAGACAAAACTAATCTAGTTTTCCAGATTTTATGAATGAGCTAATTTCTCAAGTCATTAGGGGTTATGAGTGAAATTTAGAGTTGGATTTCTTCTCTCAGTCTATTAAAATTTGCAGCTGTAAAGAGCAAGATCGATAATCAGTTGGATACTGAAATCAGCTTCACTGATCTCATGGCAAAAAACCCTATTATTTTGAATTTTATGATCCATGTATCATAGTTGCGACACCCTTTTCCTAGCATCTATATTTTAAAAATCAAGTCAAATAACTTTCTTCTCATTCAGCTTACCTAGGGTGACATCCTCCAAATCTATTTCTTTGGGGACAATGTGGAGATATTATACCACTTCTGGAAAATACCAGGATTAGGCAAGTACTATGTTCTAACTCATATCAGAAAACAGTATTTGCCATGAGTAAAATTTTTAACAATAATAAATTATCCCAGACAATTAAAAAAGATCCTTGTTTGAAAAAGGAACTTTCACAGCATAGCAAGATATGCTTTCAATCACTAGAGTGGTCCTTTTGAAGCCTAGTCAGGATATTGCCCTGACCTTCCAGAAAGACTGAAGAAGCTCAGTATTTACATAGTATAATTGCACATTTCTAATCCAATGAATGCAATGTAGATACTGTGTAGTAATTTATCTAAAATACAGATGCACAATCTGAGCTGTGTGGAACCTACAAAAACCCTTCTGAATATTGCTACCAAACTTTAACTACATGAAATTAATTTAATTTAAACCAATTATATAGTTTAACTATCTAAATAATTTTAATCAAATTTAAGCTTTCTTGTCCAAAACAGCATCTTGTTCTTTGGCTTCTTTTGAGATATAGCACCAACATACCACTCAAAGGCCAAGTGTAGCCTTAAGCCTAAAAATTATACATATCCCTAATCTAAAACCTTTATTCTATTAAATTACATTAAATCAAATGTAATTTTTTTTAGATAATGTCTACAAGCAAACTGATGTATATTTGGTGACAATAACTAATTATCCATTTGTTTTGATTAAGTATTTTTGGTCATTGGTTTATTGTCCATTTTTCCTAAAGCATATAAATTGATGAAGCATAACAAATTAATTCAATTTACGCCATTAGCATGTTATTAAAAAATACTGGATATAGTACATCACTTTTTGTATCAATGGAATTTTAAAGTATGAAAATGTATTTTAGGCAAAATAATTTAAAGCAAACATCTTTAAAAGATTCCTATAATTAAAGGTATATTTATTCAACATAGACTAGCTATATTGATGTAATTGTGCTTAATTGATTACCTTTGTTGAAATGTGATTCTGGCAGAAGTATTAAATACAACACTTATATTTTCCCTTAAGATTACATAAAAACTCATATATATTTATCCCTAATCTCTTTTCCTTTTATTGGTTTTGTTTTAGTCTTTTGTTTACCTTTTTAAACGCTGCATTTCTAGTTTTCAGTCTGATTTTTTGTTGTTGTTTAATATTAAGCGAAAAACAAAAGCATCACCAGCAGGCATATTATTGGCCCATATTAGATTTAACCTTTTCTGTGAATACTGCCATGTTTTTCCCTTCTTCAATGAGATAATGTAAGCATGGAAAGAGCATCTACCTCTAATTCAATAAAGCGATCCAGGATGGCCTCCCATTTATGAATACTATCATAAAGGCACTTGGTTTCCTCATAAACCTCTTTTATTTTCAGAAGTTCTTCATCATGTTGATTCAACAATTCTTCTGAGAAATTGTCTATATAAATCGGAAAGCATAACTTTCATTAAACCTAGCAAAAGATAACATAGACATCAAACCCATTCATTGTGACTCAACCTAGAAAACCTTTTAGCATTTGTCCCGCTATTCCAACAGACAATACAGGTAGTCCTTGGGTTGCAACCACTTGTTCAGCGACCATTCAAAGTTACGATGATGCTGATTAAAGGGGATGCTGCAGTTCTGGCCATTGCAGCATCACCACATTTACATGATCATGATCTGGGCCCTCAGTGCCCAGCTCACAATTATGCCATCGCAGGGATCCGCAGTCATGTGATCGCTATTTCCAACGTTCCCTGCCAGCTTCCTACAAACAAAGTCAATGGAGAAGCCGGCAGGAAGTTGGAAGTTGCTCCTGCTCCTTTTTTGCCCACCCTCCATAACAGCTGTCCGTGGTACCCCCATCTCCCATAGTGCCTGCCCATGGCACCTCCCCCACGCTCTGTAGCACCTGCCTGTGGCACCCCTGCCCCCCAACACACCCACCTGCACTCCATATCTCCTGCCTGCAGTACAGCCCTGCCCACCTGTAGCTCTCACTAGCTGTCCTGCTTGCCTGGGACTCCTGCCTCTTCCTGCTTAATGACTTGCACAGTCCTGAAGTTATAACAACTGGGACTGCAGTTGCTAAGCAATGCGATCAAGTGATGACTTGCTTTACAACCACATCGCTTAGCAATGGAAATTCCAGTCCCAAAATTGCTGTTGCAACCCGAGGACTACCTCCATATCAAATGTTTTTTGAATGATAAAATTTTCATTTGCTTTCAAACATACGACTTCTCATACCTAAAGTAGATAATGATTACATTTTGAATTTAAAGGCATATGCTACAATGAATTACCATTATAAAAAGGCTGAAATGCAGCTTTTTGTTCATCAGAATAAAAGCATTTTTGCCAATAGCTGTCAATCTCTTGCCTGACTTTCAAAGTAATTTCTTTAAGCTTCTCTTTCTTCAGCTCTTCCAGGGTTTGTAATTCCTCTTCCCACTAATGAAAACAAAATGAATTTATCTCAATGAAAATAGTATATTTCAGAATATATAAGCAGACTTGCAGTTTTCTTATAATTAATTCTGTTAGACGAGATTTGAAAGAGGACTATGTGGTCAAAACACATTAAGAAACTGAGCTTCAAATGAGAAAACCTATCTACTTTCATATTTACCTTATATATATTCACTTCCATGATATGGAAATGCCATCATCCCTTACATTCCATCATTAAATCAAAGACAGTAATCTAGATTCCATGGCAAAGTCCACACACATGGATATTTTAAATAAATTGTCATACATCGTGTCATCTCCACATAATGCAACCAAATAAACTTCACTACTTGGCAGCAAAGTATCAGTATGTGCCCAGAAATAATCAGATCACTGGTACAATGATATTTAGATTGTTTAAGTGGTCTAGCATCCTAGAAGTTACCGCCAGCTGGAAATCTCCTAGTTCAAGTGGAGCAACAAACTAATCACTTGAAAGAGACTCAGACTGTGAACAGACTGTGTGCCTGCCATAAGTGCATCTTAGAAACTTCTGCAATGTGCTGCGATTCCATGGCAGATGATGCAATACAGATATAATTCCCTGAAGATAATAGAGTTAAAAACCACACGCCAATAAAATCCTTACTCTGTACGCATTCACGGATTTTTGCTAAATGAATTACTATCTTACATATTTACAGTTCTATATTGATGTAAATTAGGGGCTCCAAACAATTAATTGTGATGGTTACAAAATATACTTAACCTAGGACATTCATGTTAGTAATGGAGAGAGATGTCAAAATTCTCATTCTATTACCATCTTTGTGGCTTCACAGATTGAACACTGGCTGGTCATTTTCATGAATTGTTCTTGTTTTTCTTGTGGCCACTGAAGTCTGTCCCACAGAAGTTGAACCTGTTTCACCAGAACCTCCTTGGTAGCAGTCAGAGACTCTTTCTTATTCTGCAACTACAGAGGCATATTCATATCAGTGCATGCAAAAAGGTTACCTAAAGATTGGAGAAATAAGGCAAGTCAACTGTCTAAACAGTAGCCTGAAGGGGAAAGTAAGTCAGATCCAATATTCTATCAGGAGCAACCTCTAGGAAAGAGCATATCAACATGCTTTCCTGTCCACTGTACCATGATTTATTTATGGGGAATGCTGTGTTATCAGATTTATGAAGAGTGTACGGGTTCTTTCTGTAAATAAGCCCAGATGAAAGTCAGTGCTAGCTGCTTTACTGCAATCCTGAAAAACATAGAATGTGACTCTGGCAGTAGCATTAACTTTCTTAAAAGATCAGCTTTAATATTTTCCAAAAACAGATGTTTAATTCTAGCCCTGTGATGTATACCTTTACAAACATAATAGGTATACAATGCTGCTTGGCAGGGCAGATTTCCCAGCATACTGTATAAAGATCCATTCACCTTCCAGCTCATTGTGTCCTCTTTGTTAAATGAGACCCATTTAAAGTAAGGGCTCTCTCTCTCTCCACACATACATTCAAAATATACTTTTTTGTACCACTTAATCTCCCAAATTGGATTGCCAAACCCCTTCTCTTGCTCTCCTTAGCCGTCTTGATTTTCCTACTTTCTTCTCCCACTTCACGGGGTCACCCCAGATTGGCTACAGATCTCACTAGTCTTAAGTATGCTCTTTTCTGCTTTGTTGAGCCTTCATCACTATATATGACAAGCAGCACAAATTTTGCTGAGAAGAGGGTGATAGAACCTACGTTGACTTGGTAAGCCAATACATTTAGGAGTCAATAGGAAAAAGAGACTCAGTTTCCATGTTCCAGTATCAACCATTATCCTTCTTAAGAAAACATCCACACATGAAAGGCCTGTTCAAGTGTTGTAAGAGACTGAACAACTCAACAGTAACTAAAATGCTGTTAAACAGCTTTCCTTGGTGCTGAAAAGATACAAGATGTTTTAAAAAAATTTTGAGCTGCTGCTGGCACAAGACAAAATCTTCAAGGGTTCATAATTACTGATCTTGCTCAAGAAAATAATGAATGGGGGTTGCAATAAAGGCCAAAATCACTCCTTCAAAAATGGTCTTATCCACCTTTCTGACACTACAAAATATCTCCACACCATCTTTGTAAAGGCTAAAAAAGGAAAGCAATCTCAATATCTTGCCCTTATCAAGTGTTCGCACAGGCTGCTGATATTAAGTTCCAAAAGATGGACTCCAACTAAAGAAAAAACTAATTAAAACATAACCTTCATTTATTATCATCCATTACTATCACCCCTTAAATTTTGTATATTACAAAGTACAGTAGACTGATACCCACATGCTATAAATCTGCACCAAGAAAAGTTGGGATTCTTTCACTTTGGAGCCTTCCTTGCTTTTTATGAAGTATGACTTCAAACAATATTGTGACCTAATAGTTCAAGTAATAAATTCACTCATATGAATATAACCTTTTACATAAGAAGTCCTACCTGATGGATAAGCAGTTGGAGATCTTCAAGGTACTTTTTTGTAAGGCAAATATACCCTTCTTCTTCATCATCATCGCATAATATATTATTTTCCAGTGTTCCATCAGGTGTGTGCCCAATTTCTTTACTATATAGTCTGATTTCTCTTTTCAGTTTATGAAACTCTTCTAATCTTTGTTGCTATTCAAATGAATAATTTAAATAATTTAAATGTATCAAATTAAAAAGCTTATTCTATTTTGCCCAACTCCAAAACAAATCTGGGAGGCTCACAATATAACAGAGAAAATAAAATACAGTACCAATAAGAAAAAACAAGATAACCAATATATGAAAGAACAAGATGGCTCATCGGATCAACAACACAGAAAACATATACAAACATATCCACAAGGGGTTCCAGCCACCCTAGCCCAGGCTCCTGGGAAAGCAGCCAGGTCTTTAGGGCCTTCAGGAAGGCCATCAGAGAGGGAGCCACCCAGATCTCAGGGGGAACCTCATTCCAGAGGGAAGGCACTGCAACAGAAAAGGCACACTTCCTGGCTCCTGAAAGATGACCCTGTTTGACTGAAGGGGCCTGGAGAATGCCAATCCTGTTGGCTCATAGCAGCCAGGCTGATATCACAGGAGACAGGCAGTTCCTCAGATAATCAGGCCCTACATGCAAAGAATAAGGAAGATGATCTTGACAAAAATATGCAAGAACTGTTACCTAAGGTAAAAGAGGCTGAAACATTTCACCCTTCCTGTGGAGCTAATTTCCTGGTTGGTCTATCTAGCTGGGCTGACACTTACATGTAGGGCTTTATAGGTCATAATCCACACTTGAATCACACCCAGAAGCAAGCTATTTTAACTGGTATCATAAGGCTTCAGATACCAAGAACTTCTAAACATTATATTTAATCCAACTTTCTATTTCAAAAAGCACTGAGAAAATTCACCTTAAAGTGTTCATCTTATTGCCACACAGTCCAAAATTAAATCTAGCAAAATAAGACCAGACTGCATACAATGTCTTATATTAAGCCTGTTTGTTTCATAATGTTAAAAAGCATGACACTAAATTCTGAACTGAATTTCAGAACAAGTGTTCAAATTAATTCACTAGAAAATAGAGATAAAGCATTTTAGTTCTACTAGACAAGGTCCTCATAACTTGTATCAAATTAATTAGAAAGCTAGGCTATTCTCCTACTTATTCACACATCAATCTAAAACTATAAACCTATCTCATCCAGCCAAATCTAAAACTCTAATTTGCAATCAGGAACTGTGGAAATTCTCAAAGCTCACCAATTCCTAGTTCTAGCTCTTGCTGTGAAACCTTCCTATGGTTGGAAAGTAATCATTTATTACTTGTGACCTTCCAGAAATCCCTTAAAATGTGGCTGTTTCAGCAAGCCTGGGGATCCCCTGCCAACAGTGGTCCCGTGCACTGGCTGCATCATGTATAACATTCTGATGTTCATCACTTGTTTTTTATTTATATTTGTTTTAATTGATTTTTGTATACTGTTTTAACTTTTGGTTTTATTGTACACTGCCCAGAGTCACCTTGTGTGAGATGGGCAGTCATATAAATTTGATAAATAAGATCATTTATAGTCCAGGGAGTCACTCTGCCACTCTGAAAATACCCAGGAAAGGTATGCCCACAAAGAACCTTGTCACAAGAGGATATTTAATGGAATTTGGACATCTACATTATATCTGGGTAGAGGAGAAATCACTTTTCTCAGGTAGAACAACAGCTCCCATCTGCAATGGGAGCTGATTTTCCATCAATCATAAAATAGAATCCCTGCCTATTCCTCCACGTCATGCCCAGTTTCATTTCAAATTCTTTGTATAATCTGGATAAAAGCCAAAGCTTGTCTTCTGACAGCAACCTTTCTAGGATTTTGAGTCTAGATGGGACGCAGAGAACAGAGACACCTGATAATGCTCATTCTTTCTTTGCTCAAGAAAGCAGAATATTCATTTAACTTATTTTTTATTGCAATGTTTGATTTCCTAGTGAAGAGACATAATCAATACCATACCTTTATTTTCAAAAGATTTGTAACATGTTCTTTTAATTCTTCCAGTTCTATGCTACTTGGAATACTGCCAGTAGGGATATAGTAAGGGGTTTCACAAAGCTCTGTACATAGTGCCTGGTCATCTTGCTGCAGCTGTGTCAACTTCTTCAGCCTCTCCTGTTTTTCTTTAAGAGCACTTTCTAAAGCCAGACGATACTCCTTCTCTAACTGAAGGATTGTTAAACCATCATCAACCTGTAAAGTTATACAGCAAAAATATATATTTAGTACTTATATCTGTGGGGTGGCCTCTCTCCAGGTGTCTGCTCGTTCTACTAGATCTAGTATAGCAGGCATGTTCCATGTTCCATCATTACAATTATGTCCTCTTATGGGAGCTTGGAGACATACCTTTTCTATGGCTACTCCTACCCTGTGGAATGGTATCCTCCCACCCTCAAAGTCCACATGGCCCTGACCCTGTTGTTGTATAGGGAAGCCCTTAAAACATGGCTTTCAGCAGACCGGTGGGTGCTTTGTGAACCCATACCGATATTGGGATTTTGTACCTTGGTTCTTAGTATTTTTTCCCACAGTATAGTTAGCTAGATATATGTCCCAAGGGTGCTGCTGCAGTGGTTATTAATTATCTGTGCTAACTATCTTTGTACAAGAATGCTTTTTGGTGTTTACTTTATGTTGCCTGCTGAGTCTTGTTTACAAAATCACAGCATATGGCTAGAAAAAGTCAAATTATTCAAATAGCAGAAGGTCTCTGAGGAGCTGTAGAACAAGAAATATCTAGTGCTAAACAGGTAATGGGAATCTGAAACATTGGGACACAAGAGGCCTCACACTTACCATTGCTAGCATGTAATTCCAATTTATAGGAGTAACAAACGGTAGGAAACCACTTACAAGATCTTTAGCTCCAGTGGAATAACTGAACAGTCAACTGAAATACGTTTATTACTCTCCCCTCTTGCTGAGAAACATACTATTTTCCCCAGTCTGCTTCAAAAAGAAGTCCCTCAGAGAATTCCTGTCCCAGTCCCACAATTTTCAGTCACTGTCATCAAGCTGCATTCAATTTGAGTTACTCCTATTTCTTATAGTATTTCTATACGCTTGTCACTAAAAAAATCAAAGCAATTTACATAAAACCAAAAAACTACAATAAAAATAGAAAATGCTAAAACAGTAAAAAAAAAAACCTCAAACATTAAAATGTTAAAAGAAATAAATACTGAAATCATCAATTTGAATATTAAATTGTATTACAATTTTAAAAATCAATTAGGGCACTTGATATAGAGAAATTAAGGAGATCAGGAGACAGCCTGAGTGAACAGGTCATTTTAAAATTTTCTGCAAAAAGCCTTTGTAGTAAACAGCAACTTAATTTCCACCAGTTTGTTTCATGCTTTGGATGCACCTAGCAAGAATATTATAGTACAGAAACACTGGAAACAAGGGGACTCATATGTTTCTCAAAACATGTCTCATATGTCAGATAATAATCTCCTATTTTTTATAATACATAGATCCCACATATTCCACCACAGAATAGTAAAATATAAATGAAATGTTATTTACAATGTTGCACTGGGAAGAAATTATAAATAAAAAGTCGTTTACGGCAGGTAGCTTAATATCACTTTAGTTTTCTGTTCTTGGGAATAATAAGCAGCTGAGAACAACTTACCTGGTAAGGGTCCAGATTGAGTTGGTATCTGAGCATATTCAGCTGACTTTTCTGAATTTCAATGTCATTTTCAATTTTTTCTTTCAAACTGCTTTCTTCATCAATCATTTCATTCAACAGCGCCTGTCCAGAAATCCCCGCAAAACATGTCAGCATAGTTTTCTAACAGATTTAACTGTTGAACTGCTTATTTGATCAGAGCCCATCAGAATCCCTAGCTAGAATAAAGGCCTATCTCAATTAGCCCAGGATTTGATATGTGTCCAGGGGCAGTCAAAGATGGTATCAGGTTGTTGTCAGTCACTGATAGAAGGCTTTCATTCATGAATGGAGTGAAGAGAAGAATTTTGCTGACTCCCTTTGCTCCGCATCCCTCATGCCATCTTCCACATGGTTTCAATGAAAATAAATTTGGTGCATGGGGGCAAAAGAGAGAATGGTCAAAACTGGTCCTCCCTCTCTTCCTGCTATAAACCAAATGTTGCAATCAGAAACACACATATGGCAAATAAAATGATTGCTTACTAAAAAGTGAAAAACTGAATAATTGGTAACCAAGTGGGCTTTTAGTTTATAATACTTTGTTCTAATGTATATTAAAGTAACAGCTGCTCAGAGACTTGTTGATACTTGCTTAATTGACTCACTGTTTCACTTTTAAAAATAAACAGCCTCTTCCCTTGAGCAATTTATTTTGCAGGAGAAAAAAAAGTACCCTACTGTTTCAGGTGCTTTTAACTTCCCTGTACGGTTAGAAATATATAATGGATTTAATAGATCTTTCAAAGACCAGGTTTCCAGGTCTTTTAATTAGCTGTGTAAGAACATCAATGTTTCTCAAAGGGGACAATATGTTCAAACAAATGAATTTTACTTGAAGCACAATACATCTTACAATAACCCTCCCACCAGGTTTCCAGGTCTTTTAATTAGCTGTGTAAGAACATCAATGTTTCTCAAAGGGGACAATATGTTCAAACAAATGAATTTTACTTGAAGCACAATACATCTTACAATAACCCTCCCACCAGGTTTCCAGGTCTTTTAATTAGCTGTGTAAGAACATCAATGTTTCTCAAAGGGGACAATATGTTCAAACAAATGAATTTTACTTGAAGCACAATACATCTTACAATAACCCTCCCCCTGCCCCAAAAACTAGGTTTTACAAAAAAGAAACACTAGCTACCTTAATTTGGATACAGCATGCAAACTATTTAGGAAACATAATTTCTGTAAGATTTGCAAAGGGCCTCCCACAGGACTTCTAAACAAAAAAGGGATAGGAGAAAAAGTAGAGAACTGGTGAGGTGCTCCTACTCCAGTTTGCTGTATTTTGAAGAATTCAGACATCATTGTACTTATTTAATGTTTTTTCTATTATCTTCCCATCAAGTAGTATTCCCTTTCTACTTACAAAATCTCTGAAAAGCCTGATTTTTCATCATTATAGCAAAAGGCTGGAACTATGCAGAATAGTCTGATCTCTGAACATGTCATATATCTCGAAGGTTGTATGTGGCATTGATTACATATTTATTTTCACAGCTGTTGTGACTCTTTGTTCCAGAGTTAGCAACTTTACATATTAGAGACTTTCAAGGACTGCAACTGTCATGTCCTGGTGATGTCGTGACATTTCCAGGCATGTGGGGATGAAATCATGTTAGACTTGGGGGGGGGGCATTTTGAAAACGAAAATGGATCTTAAATTTGAAGGAAAAATATATAAAAATCACCATGCTGAAAATGGTCATCTTAGGATGCTCCAGCAGCAGCAATTAGGAAGCTAACATGATCATATGCAGACTGCCTGTTGCCCATCCCTATTTTACTGCAATGAAACCAAAAATTCTAATGCAGCAACATTTGATGCCCAATATCATAACATACAACAAAGTAGCAATTTCCCCCCAAAATGGATACTGGGAATTGGTACTGGATGTTTGTGCAATCCAGCTTCACAAAGAATACTTTACATTTCAAGGCTGCCATCTTGATCCATACCTCAATGTGGGCCTTTGCAGCCTGCATGCGTTCTAGCTGCAGCTCTTTGCCAATTCCCATTGCATTCCATAAATCTAGAAGCTTTCCCAGTGCTTGAGTCACACAGTTCACCAGGGAGGAAGCCAAGACTTCACTGAACAAGAAAAGAGAGTTAGTAATTTCAGTGCCGTGATGCCACGTAATACAAACATTGCCTTTGCTCCCTATACCAGAATTCTCATTTGCATTACATTAGTATTAATATTACATATTATTATTACATATTAATCTAATACATTAATACTTTTCTTTTTAACAGAAAATGTCAAGGACTGAGCTTGTGACACTTGCATGGAAAGTATGTACAGGTAGTTCTTGCTAAATGACCATTCATTCAGTGACCATTCAAAGTTATGACAGCACTGAACGAATGGTAGTTACAATTGGTCCTCGAAGTTACGGCCGTTGCAGTGCCCCCACGCTCATGTAATCAGAAATTAGGCATGTGGCAGCCCACCCATATGTAGTGTGTGCTTCAACTCCCCCCACGCCCATCTCCCCCCCATCTCTGCCCTTGTAATCATGTAATCAGAAATTAGGCATGTGGCAGCCCACCCACATGTAGTGTGTGCTTCAATTCCCCCCACGCCCATCTCCCCCCCATCTCTGCCCTTTTGGCCACCCTGCACTCCACCATCCGCCCCCCACTGACCTTCACCATCTTCTTCCTCCCACTGCTGATGAGGCATATCTGGCAGAGGCAGCTGCTGGCCCTTTCTGAGACCCTCACAGTGAATGCCTATCCCCCCCATCTCTGCCCTCTTGGCCACCTTGCATGCCGCCACTGCCTACTCCTGCCACCCCCCTGCTGGCCTCGCGAAGTTCGGCTGGGGGCAGCAGGGTAAGTGGCAGGATGCAGGGCAGCCAAAAGGGCAAAGATGGGGGGAGAAAGGCAGTAAGGGCAGTTGAAACAGAGCCAAACACAGCAGGGCAGGAGAAGCATGAGGTCCTCGCCTAACAACCACAGTCAGGACTACCAGAACTGCTGTCGCTAAGCGGTGTGGTCACATGATGTTTCACCTAATGACCACTTCACTTAGCAATGGAAATTCCAGTCCCAATTAGGGTTGTTAAGCAAGGGCCACCTGCATTCTGCCAGTGAACTACATCAACTATTTTCCATAGCCACCCAATGACTCTATATAGGGTATAAAGTTTATATAGTTGGCTTAAAGACCCACAGTCCACATGTTAGGATAAAGATACCCTGGGATCAGGCTTGACTCCCGGGACCTCATGGGCACACCCGTGCCGTTTTCTTGGCAACAAAACGTAAGTGGTTACCCACTGCCTTCTTTTGACCTTTTTGTTTAATTTCCCACTCCACAGCTCTCATCTTCCCGTGCGAATTCTAACCAGGCCCAACCATACAAAGCTTCACTGCTTAGCCGAGAGGGAGGCGCTGCCATTTAAGGAGAAAAAGATGAAGCCTATTGCAGCTGGAGGACCCCACATCGAGCCCCCTTCGGACCTTCCGCTGCTTCTGAGGCTGCTTTACTTGGGGGAGCGAGTCCCACGGCCTTAAAGGAGGCCCCACTCACTCCCAAAGGAGCCGACACAGTCCGGACAGCCGTTCAGCGTTCCAGAGGCAGGCTGTCCCCTTCCCACAGGACACAACCTGGTCTCAGAAAAGGCCCCCGTCCTTTCACCTTTCCCGCAGAGGTTTCG